TTGTAACACTTTAAGGTGTTTTACAGCCTGTCCAATATTAAGCCCTTAAACAATGGTAGATGAATATTGAATTTTTAAAAAGAGGAACTGTCACTTTAATTGTGAAACAATTTCAAATGCAGGTATCTGAGCAGTGTCCATGCAAATCTGATGTATCTATGTAATCCTGATAATTCTGTGTGCAGTTACCCATTTTATACAAGATCATGCTAATTTACTAGTGAAAAAAAAATTCACTTTGTATCTTTAAAAATCTGCCATAGCGTGCTCCCTGTGTGAATATACATTTGCAGGTCTTTGTGTTAAGAGCATCCTCAGCTGCAGTATATATTGGCCAGACATGAAGCAAACAATCTGTCTAGCAATGGATGCTGCACAGCCATCTTACATGTTATTGCAGATGAAATTCAAAGCAGGAGCCTTGTGGCTCATAGGCAACATCTCTTCCAGTGCCAGGAGAACAAGACGACATCATCTTCAAGCCAGTATGAACCATGCTGGAAGCTGCCTTTTGAGTATCTTACAATGGCAAGGTGATCTAGAATAAATACTAGAAAATTGCTGGTATCTTTTTTAATACTTGATTTTCCAAGGTGCTAGGCTGCCTCAACTCCCTTTGGGTACATCTACACTGCAATAACATACCCATGGCTGGCCCATATCAGATGATGAGGGTTCACTGGACTTGGACTGCGGGTCAGTAAACTTGCAGTGTCCATCTCTGGGCTTGGACTAGAGCCTAGGTTCTAGAAACCTCTCCCCTCACAGGCTCCAGTGCATGGCTGGTATGCAACAGCCGCAGCCTGAGCCAGCATGTATGTTTTATTGTTGTATAGACCTACCTTTTAAGGACAGTAGGACTTGAAGATGCTCAACACTTCACAGGATTATGCTGTGTGTTACTTAAGTGTGAAAGACACTACGGTGGAGATGAATGAAATAAGGCTGTATGCACCAGGACTTTTCATGGGGAAATTAGTCTATTACATTTATAATGTGCACACCACTGTAGCATCATATACTCAGTCTCTGAAATGCAGCCAACAATTCACTGATTGAATTTTGGGTTTCCACGGAATATTAACAGGTCATCAATACAGTCTGTGCCCTACACACTACTCTGGTGCAAGAGCCTTAGGGGGCTTGTATTTCAGGAGATCTGGAGACAACCGGCCATTCCTCATGCACCAAGCACTTTATGTAACACTTGTGAGTTGTAGATAGACTATGGCAGGGATTTGGTCATTAGATGTATCAGTAGACAGGTGTGTGGTTGCTATGAAAACCAATCAAGGTTTTGCCTGCTGGGTGTGAAGACAACATCTAGACAGACTTCTGCTGAGTGCTAGGGAGGAGGCATATTTGTTACAGTGACATAAGGAAATGTAGGAGAATGGTCTTGGGAAGTTAAATTAAGATTGTTAGAATTTAGGTTTGGATCTTTGGCCTTACCGCCTACTATGGTCTTATAGTTCATGAAACACCCATATTACTTCAAATTTAATTTTCCTTCTTTAAAAAAAAATAGAGGAGTGGGAGAGAGAGGCAGGGAATGTCCTATTCTTCACAATGTTGGCATTTAAATCACCCAGATTTTGCAAGAAAAATCCACAACAGTCTGATAATATTGAATATGATCACAAAATCTATTCTTGATTCAGCCTCACATTTGATCCATGGCCAAAACCCAACCCGATCTGTACACAGCCTACTTAACCCCGTTTAATTTGTATGTTACTACTTTGTTATTGGCTTCTATGCTTGTTCTTTTAAGACAGATCCTGAGCCGATTGAAACCATTAATTTCAAAGGGATCATGTTTGGTTATTCACTTTTTGTGGTTCATTTCATTCAAAGAAACTAATAAAAACCATCTGATGAAGCAAATAACTGCCAAATGGACAGAGCACAGCATTATTTATGTGTTGTTTGTAAACACTGATGAGTTAACCCCAATAGGCCTGAGATTTGACTGCACTTCTCCATCTACTATATGTTTGAGAGTTTGTGCATCTGTGTGTCTGTCCGTCAGTCTGTGAGTCCATTCATTCAAGAACTCTGTGTATCCTTTCATCATAACTTAAAGCAAGGTCAGGATTTAATTGTGCCAGGACACTGGGCTGTGCCTGGAATCATTTTCATTTTCATCAAATGGAAAGGAAGGGATATGATAGCAGGGACAGTTATACTCACGAATGACCGCACAGGGGGACAGTAAGCATTTGAGACAGTTATTCCCCAGAATGGCCACGGGGGGAGGTCGAGGGGAGGGAAGGAGCAACAAGCCCCCCAGCCCTAAGGAGCAGCCACTGGCTGGCAGTACAGTCCCTGACACCATGGCCTGCCCTGAGGAGCAGCTGCCGTTCGGCCAGCGCAGTTCCCATCATCTGGCAACCTCTCACAGAGCAGCCGCTATCTGGGCCACATAGCCCCCACTGCCCTCACCACTCCCCAGGGAGCAGTTGCCAGCTGGGCCGCAAGGCCTTGGGCTGGCCCCAGGTTGCAGCTGGAGGCCAAGTCATTCAGCATTTGCTGCCTGGCTGCCCCCAGGGAGCAGCTGCCAGCTGGGCTTCATGGTTCCCAATTCCCTGGGCCTGCCCTGGGGAGAAGCCTGGGGGAGGGCTGTGCAGCCCCACTTCCTCCCCTAAACCCGCCTTCACCTCCCAACCCTGACTCCTCCCCATGTCCCCAGCCCCCTGTTCTGAGCCCCTCCTCATCCCCCCAACCCTGCTTCCTGCACCCTCCACAGCTCCAGACTCCTGCCCTGAGGGGCCCCCTCCCCCACATCTCCAAGCCCCTGCCCTGACTCCTGCACCTCCCACATCCTCAGCCCCTCTGCCTTGAAGGACCCAAGTAATGCTGGATAAGTCTTCTAGTAGGCAAATATAAATGAGTTGATCTTATTAAAAGTGAAGTGGTATTAATTTCAGGTCTCTCACATGTAATGCTGTTCAGCTCTCTCATTTATCTCATTGCTCTCCACAGAGCTATTATGTTTCCAAGGTTCAGCATTTGATCTCATCTGTACCACCTGCTCCCGCCAGACCTTGCACCCTCCCTATTTCAGCCCATAATATCACGACGTGTTTCCATAGAGACTGGAGTTGA